AGGAGGAGCAGGGATTCTGGGAGGAGCAGGGGTGCAGGAGGAGGAGGGGTGCAGGAGGATCTGGGTGCAGGAGGATCTGTGTGCTGGGAGGAGCAGAGGTGAGAGGAGCAGGGATTCTGGGAGGACCAGGGGTGCAGGAGGATCTGGGGGATCTGGGTGCTGGGAGGAGCAGGCTGCCAAGCCGAGGTTCCCTGAGCTGGGGCAGTCTGGAGAAGCTGGCTGATGAGGCCTGGAAATGGAAACCACCTTCCAGTGCCCTGAAGGTTGACTGAGGGGCAAAATGTTTTTCAAAGTGAATTGGCAGGAAAAAGGGCTTAACCTGAGAGTGGGAGGAAGTGTATTTGAGTATGAACAGTGCCCCTGAGGGAGTTCCAGGTGGGGGGAGGATGGGGTCAGAGGGTTGCTGTTGGGTCTCCTGCAGGCTCCCCAGGTTGGTGGAACCTATGCGGTCATCTACCAAGTGTGCCACTTCATAGGCACTCACCAGTGTTTCCGCGAGTCAGCGTTATCTGGTGGCAGTGAATAAATCTTCAGCAACTTACAGAAGCATATGGGTCTGTGTTGGCAGCCTTTATTTCGTGGCGCAGCCTGATTCCTGGTGGATGATGGGCATCCTGTAGTCCGGGACCTGGGCGGGCTGTCTGCCGCAGCGTGAATTCAGGGTGGTCCCGTGGGGTCGTCTTGCACCTGATACGATTTTCCTTTCTTCATGATTTTTTTTTAAAAATGAAAATTAAATCTTGGTTTTCTCTATTACACACTATGATTTAGAATTTAAAGCAGTGACTGACAGAGCCTTTTGCTCAGCCTTTATCCACATTTTTTGTCTCCTAGCTGGATCCCTCCCTATCTGAGAAAGGGAATTCCTACGGCTCCGTGGGACTCTGAGTGACTTAATGAGAAGGTACATAAATAGGGTATTGAGACATTAATAAGAAAAAACCCAGCTTGTTGGAAACACAGTGAAACCTCACGCGTGGAAACTGACCCGTGCCCATCTTTCCTCCCCCATGACACAGCCAAGAAGCAGGAGGCGGCCATCAGAAGGCCCCAGGCTGAACTGACAGGCCGTCCCCCACGGGCCTCCCCACCATCGCCGTCAGCTTTAGTTTTCCTGTTACACACAATTCTCAGGGTCACGAGTGTCCGAGCTGTCCCCTGGAAGCGGGGGAGAGGTGGCAAACTGTGAGGTTACACTAGCACATGACCCCAGGAAGGGCAGAGAGGAGCGGGCAGCCTCGGAGCAGGGCCAGCGGGGAGGACAGCATCGGGGCCGCTGTCGGGACTGGAGCAGCTTTGCCACTGTTTTATTTGTGGTTCACAGGAAGTCTTCACCTTGTGTTCAGCATGACTTAAATACAGTCATGAGTATTTCATGGAGATTCTCCAATGCTTCGACACTTTCATAAAATTCCGTTTTAAAGGTAAACCCTGCGTTACCCAGAAACCACCGCTTGTCAGAATGACTCCTCACTTGGATTCTGAAGAGCTGGAGTTTTTGCTTGAGGATAATTGATGGTTAAAATTCTTTTATGTATTTTACGTAAATATCTTTGCCTATAAATTCTCATGGTTAAACATACTTTCTGTGTCTGCTTGAACGGGCATAGTTTTGGAGTCGCATTGGCTGGAGTTTTGGGTGGGCTTCCTCCTCCATCACCTGGAGCTTGCTCCCAGGTTGCGTTGGGTGCTGGCAGTGCTCAGTGGTGGTGGCAGCACGTGTGGGTCTGCCTGTTCCCCTCTGGCTCCAGTGCCTGCTCCTACAGGGAGGTGGTGGGCTGCTTTCCTGCCAGGGAGAGCTGAGGAGGTGTTACTACCTGTTGGAATTTGACCACAGATGCATCCTGTGCATTTAGCTCAGTATGAAGGAGATGCAAAACACAGGGAGGTCCGAGTGCACTCACACAGTAAGAGTTGGGTTCTGACCAATCTGTTTTCCCCCAGCATAGCTGGGATACAGTATGAGCCGCTCGTCACTTCTTAAAATGTAACTTTCAGATTTGATGCAGTATGGTGCAGGTATTAGGAAACTGTCCCTTGTAAGTTTTAATAGCTCCGTGAGTTTCTTTTATTTTAATATATTTTAGTTGTTGATAAATAAAATCTATATGCGGTGCTGAACACTGAGCACATGCAAGGCAGGCTCTCTACCACTGAGCTACAACCCCAGCCCTGGGTTTCTTAATTGTTAAAATATATGTATTTAGACTGGACATAAATGAAAGAATTAAAGTTTACTTTTTAACATTTCTAGCATATTACTTCTCATAGACAATAGCTGTCTGAATTAATTGATTTCTATTAAAAACAATGGGATTGTTGTGTTGTTGCTGCAATTACAAAACCAAAAGATAATAAATGGAGCACCTTTGTGTGTGTGTATTTTTTACTTCTTGTACTCAGGAGGAGACTGAACTAATGAAGAAAAATAACATTTGTGCTTATGTCCTAGAAGAATGTCATAAGAACTATTTATTGCTTACTAAAGAAATTAAATTACTTAATGAAGGTGAATTATTGACTTAATTTATTAGGAATTTAATTTGGGAGCTATTTTCATAGGAATATCGGCCAAGACAAGAATGATAACACTTTAATGCATAAAGACATTCAAATTACTTTAAATAGGCAACTAAGTGTATTCCAATGGAAACTGGCATTTTCATGCTTTAAAAATAATATTTTTTTTTTCCAAAAAGAACTACTATCAATGTAACTATGCAGTGAGTAGGGGAGTGTGGTTTCTCTAAAAGGAATTCATGTTCAAGCAGGGCTGCTCGTCATGGATAGAAATTGTGTCATTACTTCATAAATTAGGCTCCATTGCTAAAATAATCGTCAAGCTGCGTTGCATACTGAGGTAGCTGTTCATTGTTGAGTCATTAGAGCCCAGGAATCGGGCTGATCCACGGGTTCCCAGTCTGGTCAGAGTGGCCAGGCTGAGGTTTCTGAACCCGGAGGCCCGTGGCAGCTGTGGGGTGTGTGTGTGTGTGTGTGTGTGTGTGTGTGTGTGTACGCATGCGCAGTTACACTGGATCTTGAATTGTGTCTGCTCTCCGTGGCCTTCACACAGATAGGATGTTGCTGTTACTGAGAGCTCCACCTTCTCCTTTCTAAATGCAACAAAATGGAGAAGGAGAGCTGTCATGATATCTGTGTATGAATTAGAGATTATAGTGAAAGCCAGAACTGGCAAATTAAGGGGAATTCACTGGAATTGTCTAGAAATATCTTCATGTAATTATCATTTGAGTGATTCATGGACTAGATGGGAGCAGTGTGGGGAAAGTCTCATTTCTTCTCTAGGTAAATTGTTTCTCTTTGAAACTTTGTGATTCTGGAAGTTCCCCCAGCGTCTGCGATCTGCGGTCTCCGGGTGCTTTGGAGGGCAGCATGTGTCTGCATCGCGCCTGGCTCTGGCTCGGGAGCTGGAGAGCTGGAGGCATTTCTGTGTTTGCAATTAAGACTTGTTTTCATCTCTGAGCTGTGGTGTTTCAGACGGAGTTTTTTTTCACTTATGACAGACGTATGGGGAAATGCTGTGGGTTTCCAAAAATCCAGATAACTGGATTTCACTGCCTGTATATCAGAAAACAGTGGTGATGTGTATTTGTCTCAAAGATGTATGTGAAACACGCCGCTGTAGCCAGGGCCCGTGCTACTGCTTCTTGCAGTTTTAACGAAGACAGTTAAAAAGCTTTATCAAATTGATCTTCAGTTTGGAGATCATTAATGAACTAACCTCCTTCATGGACAGATCACTCAAGGCCCCAAATAGCATGTGACTTCCTTTGTTTTGCAGTAACTCATTGGAAACATTTACCAAAAACCTTAATGTACATAGAAAATGCTAAACGGTTTTTAAGTGATGGGTCCTTTTTATTGCTGTGCTGAACCATGCTTCTTGTCATGTGCCAAAGATAAATACGTAATTTGGCCTGCATTTCAGAATCTTGGTCCCAACAAGGCAGAGGGAGGGGGAGTTTAATCTAGTAGTAAGAGCAAATGTCTGGTCAGATGTGACTTTCTACCAAAAAATATTTTTAGGGTTGTTGATTATCTGAGGATATTTCATAAATTTACTAATTTTGGAAATTGTTAACTTAAAAAAAGAATTTTGGTCCTGGTTGCTCCCGAAGTGCATTGTTAGTAGAAGAGGCTGTGTCAATGAAAGTGCTTTTGCTCTGGAGGGTTTCTCTGTGACGTGGTTTCTGAGAGGCATCATGTCAGTGCACCCCAGTCTGTGGGTCTTTCTGCTCCTTCTCCTGTGGATTCAGACAACACTCCCTCCCTCTGCTGCATCCATCTTCTTCCTTTGGGACCTGAAGCTCTGCTGCTTCCTCTGTGACCTTGGGCACACTGCCTGCCTGGGTCTCTTGGCCAGTCAGAGGCTCAGGCTGTCTGGGGGAGGGTGCGATCCTCGGAAGGTTCCTGACTCCTGCAGCCTGCGTGTGCCATAGCCGACTGCAGCTTGTGGTGGGATGCGAGGGCTGGCGCTGCCCTTCCTCTGTGCTCCTCTGTGCTCCTCTGTGAACACACCATTGTGCATGGATGTCCCTGGAGTGTGTGTGGCGCACATGGCGGTTTTGCTCTCTGCTGGCATCCCCTGTGTAGAAACTAGGTCTTAGTGCATGTGAACCACCACCTTGTGTGCCCACATCAAAGGAGCACCGTATACAGCCACTTGACTTAAAATCCCAGGGTGAAGCGACAACTGTTGCTCTTGTTGATGCATGTGGACAATTTTTCTTTTCCAGAAATGCTAAATAACTTTTATGTGAAGTTACAAGTATTTGTGTTCTTTATAAACATAAGGCAGTTAAGTTAGCTTTACCATTGCCATTAGGAGAAATAAAGGCTACTTTCTTTGGGCAAAGGGAAGAGTTTTTCTCCTAGAGCAGGGACTTCCAGTAATAAATATATTTTCCTTGGCAATATAGTAAATAAATGTGTCAGTGAATCTGAAACACAATTTACTACAGATGAGGCTATCTTAAGTTTTCTTCGACACTCTATTTTATTTTTAAAAATTAGTAAATTGATTTTGTGGCCCACTAGTGAGTTTCAGCTCTCAGTTTGAGAAACCGAGAGTCTTCATGCCCTCCTGCCTGGACTCCCCTGGCAGCCAGAGAGGACAGGTGCTGGCCTTCGCGATGACCGTTGTGGCATCAGCTGCAGCTTACTCACACGTTCTTATTGCCTACGGACAATAGGTATTTATTTAAAATAATGGTATAAAGTTCTATAAAGAAAGAATTGCCATTTCACGATTAAAATGGGTTAAATGAAGTTTCTAATCTTTTCTGTTTCCCTGTCCCTCCCTCCTCAGTTCCTCCTAAGATGACCAATACAAACCGCCTTTCTCTGGGCTCACAAAAATACACAGAACTCATGAACACATGCATGGGGTTTTCTTTATTTTGCAAACAACGGAACCCATTGCTGAGAAACTTGGCTTTTCATCGATGAGCAGGTGATGGCAAGTCATGATCCTTGCTGCCTAGAGACCTCACCCATCTGCTTCTAGCTGCAGTTTTTCGGGATGCAGCTGTCCCGTGGTACCTGTCTGGCCCGGACCTCACTAGCAGGTATCCAGGCTGTGGCCACCCTGACAATGCTGATGGACACTTAGATCACGTGGGTGCTGCTGTATTTTCAAGAACATGGTTCCCATAGGGTGGTGTTGGGTCAAACAGGACGTGCACTTTCAGTTGCCAAATTGCTCTGCAGGAAGGTTGCTCCAACGCCCTCTTTGTGAGCCTTTGAGAGGTTCCAGGCCCTGTGTGAGCCTTGTGCTGAGTTCACTCAGGTCAGCGCTCGAGGCCAGACATTGTCTTGCTGGGCAAAGCTCTGCCCATGAGTGAGGGAGTGGAAGGAAGCAGAATGAGGGCAGGCACGCCTCAGACCCCCTTCCACATCCCAGCTGACTGCTTAGCCTGCTGCTGCTCCTGTTCCCTCAGCCTTCTGCGGCTAGTCAGAGAATCATTTCAACATCAAACATTGATTGCACTTTTGTGGACAAGATAGGAATCTGCTGCTTTTGCATTTCTCAGCACTGGGCCTGTGGCTCCACGAGGTCTTGCAGCATGGTGCCCATGTTGAATGGCACAGGGTGTCTTTTCACATCCTGCCTTTGAGTTTTGCAGAGGCAAAGGCCATGGCTTCATCTCGTACCCCTTGTGGAGGAGCTGGTGCCAAGTAGCTCATGCTCAGGTAGTGGTCTGGGAGAAGCCGAGGAGGGAGTCTGTCCGCGTGCCTGGACCAAGTCCTCTTCTCCTGTTTCCTCATCCTCTGTTCCTGTGCATGAAGTTCATCTGTCGGCCGGAGTTGGAGATGCAAGCAGCTTCTGGTGCTCTGCCCATGAAGGCCTGCAGAGGAGGCAGGGGGCGGGACAGACACCTCGCTTCCTCACTGGGGTGTGTGGGGTGGTGCTTCTTCCCTTGACGCTGACCTGAAACAGTACTGTCGCGGAGTGCCTAGGTCCCAGGCTCAAGCCTGCAGCCATGACGTACCATGTGCACCAGCCTTAAATTCCCACGTTAAAGGAACCCACGTGCCTCTTGGAGCAGGTGCTCTCAGCTGTATATATGCTTTCCTCTGGCACCTCTGATGCCCAAGGAGAGTGGGTAGAAGCCCCCAAACAGTGCTACCTGTTGTCTTTCTCTTGGCAGCCCTTCTCAGCTGGGCCAGGAGGACCCCACCACCACCACCATGCCCAAGACCTCCCTTCTCGGCTGGGTCCGCAGCCCCCTCCCTGGGACCTCCCTTCCTAACCACAGAGGCTCCCTTCTGAGTTGCAGCCCAACTTGAGTTGCACATGAAGGAGGTGGAGGGCTGTCAGTCAGAGTGGGATACTGCAGGAACAATCCCCAAGCTTCTGGCTTCCAGAGACCAGGTTGCTGTGTTGCTCATATCACATGTTGTCTCCACATGTAGTCCACATTGTCCTCACTCAGGGACCAGGTGACATGCATGCACCACCTGGAAAATGGCTAGCCTCTGTAGCAGGGTGAGGGATGTGGCATCATTTCCGCTCACATTTCATTGGCCCCACCGGGTCTCGTGGAGGCAGAGAGGCATAGTCCTGCAGTGCCCGTGGAAGAGAATAACCTGAACACAGCCGAGGGGAAAGAGGAAGGTGGAGGAGGGAGCAAAGGAGGTGCATTCTGTGTCCAGAAGCAAGAAGTCTCTTGAGACCAGGCAGCAAAGCAACCAAGAGAGGCCCAGATGTTCTGATGGCAGCATTTTTATGAATTCATGGCCTCCCATGGCAACTGTTTTGAAGAACAAGTCATCTCTTTACAGAAAGCTATTCTCTAAGAATGTTGGAAGACTGGTCAGCTCCTGCCTGCCGCACGTGCCCACTACAGTGGATCCAACACAGGCAAGACTCAGCATTGGCAAAGCCTCAGTACTCTAGTGCCACATCCAGAGAGGATAGAAACCTCTCCCGAGAGCCACAGGGGCATCCATGGGCACAAAGGCCGCGAGTCCTGTCTTGGTGTCTTCAGGCTCCTGGTTCTTTCTCTCCTTGTGGAAGACACATTTTGTAGTTGTCCTGTGCGTTCAGCTCTAAGGATGGCTGGTAAGAGGTCGCCATGCACTTCTAAGAGCGGCCGCCGTTGGGTGCTGTGGGACCTCTGGCTGAAAGGAGAAGGCTTGCACTGGGGGCTTTAAACGGATGGCAGTTTTGATGTGGGGGTGCATGTTGCTTTCACATGGGAAGCTCTACAGGTACATAAGCAGCTGCCACGTGAGCTTGTGGGTTTGGCCATGGTGCCCAGCACAGCCTAGGGCTCTGCTGCTGGGCAGCAAGAGCCTGGAGCGCACTTGCTGCTTCCCCAGGAAACAGGGCTGTGCCCGTCCTCGGTGCTGCGTGCAGGGCGAGGCTGCTGGTCCCATGAGGTGCTCAAAGCACTCCTCAGGTCCCTGCAGGTTTCCCAGAGCCACTGACCCCAAGGAAGTGACTGTGATCAACAACCACCAGAACACAGAGCAGCCACCCCAGCCTGAGGCCCAGCGCTGCGCTCCTGGAGTGGCCATGTGGCGTTCTGTGTGGGGGACAGTGGCCTAGCCTCTCTATGGTCCTGCCCGCGGGCCTTCCACAGGTGCTCGCCCTGTGCATGCCGAGTGCCTAGGGTGCTGCCCAGCAAGGGCCCACGTAGACTGAGAGTGGGCCCTCTAGGTGTATGACGTAATCAGATGGACACTTTGTCCCTGGGCTAGGACCACCAGGCTTGTCCTGTTACACCTGAGAACTCTTTAAAATCATCTGGGTAAGACCCGTACCCTTGCCTCAAGATCTGCCCCGTTACAGTGAAAACGACAGTGAACCTCGCCCTCATGCTGGGGGGGTCTGCCCCCACTCCTGGAACCACACCCTCCCCAGGTGCAGGCACCTCCCTCGGCACCGATTCTGTCCTTCCTTCTGAAGCCCATGGACACCTCGGGGGTAGCTGCAGCCCCTCATGCCCTCTCCTCTTCCTCGGCGGCTGGGCTCCTCCCCGACTGTGCTCCCGCGATTCCTCCTGTGAGCACAGCAGTGCGCCACTTGGCCCACCAGTCCCTGAGTGGCCCGGGCGCCTGTGGTCTTCTCAGCTGTCATCGGAGTCTGGGGCCTAGCACTGTGCCTCTGCTTCTCCAAGGGGCCAAGAGCCTTTTCTGGCTGGAGTAGGTGCCAGGGGCCATCTGTTTCGACACTGCCCTTCCACCAATGCGGAAACGGGGGCTCCAGGTAGGCGCCGACCTGGCTCAAGCTTTGCCCGAGACATCTGTCCCTCGATGAAGACGGCCTGGTTTTCCGAGGGCAGTCCAGGCTGTTCTGTCACACGGTGTGCCCCCACCCAGCGTCAGTTTGTGTGCGCTTCTGGAAGCTTCGTGATATTCAGGACGCAGGTTCTTTAAATGTTTGATTCAATGTGTTACTTGTGGTCATCTCTGTTTTTTGAGAATAAAGGGCAGGAAGTCATTTGTTGGGAGTGTCCTCTTCAAGGTACCGTCATGTCGGTGGTGAGAGCAGGTGCTGCCTTCATGGCTCTGACTTGAGATGCCTTCTTGGGGATTTACCTGCGTCTCCCCGGCTGCTGCCGTTGGATGTCTGCTGCCTCCTTTGTTCTTCCTCGGTCTCTAGGAGCGAGACACCCTTTTATTTTGTGTTGAATATCAATATAAGTAAAGTATCAATAATCAATATAGTCTCTGACACCATGTCCTATATTTTATAAGTCCCTTTCCTTGCAAGCAAATGTTAGCAACCCTAACTTTTAACACAATTAAATTAATTTAAATGCATGTTTATCAGTTAAGGAAATGGCTTGCTTTAGTTATGGTGCCAAGAGACAATAACCGTGTCCAATATGTCTGTGTTTCTTATTTCCATCTTGGCAATTAAACCCCAGCGATGGTGGTTTTTGTTAGTCGTGGTGTATGTATCAGCATTTTGTACAGATACTATAATTCAGTGTGAAGGAAAATCAGTGTTTTCTGAGCTGATTTACATATGCATGTCAGATCCGGCCATGCCATTTTTATGGTATTGAGGAAAACAAACTGACCTTTTACCAAGTTTTTGATCCTGAAAGATTCTGTGTTTTGAATTTGGAGGGGAGCAGGCTGCGGAGGGAGAGGGGAGACGCGATTGTTGATTTATACCGTGATGCTAGCAACGGCCAGGACTCTCAGATGCTTTTCAGCTGTAATTGTCTCTTTGCTCAAGGCTACTGTAGTTAGACTACGTTCAATTCCATTGTCAGCCAGCCCACGAGGCATGAGGCATGGAAGCAGATACTGACCATAGAGTGGTGCAGACCATTGTTTGGGTTTCTTCCCTTGCTGAGCACTGCAGTGTTATTTTACAGACAGGAGATATTGTTTCACAGCGTGATACAATGCCACTCACTTATAGAATCATAATCCTTAGAAAGACGTGTTAAAAACTTATCTAGCTAGCTGTACTCTTAAAAGTGCCTGGTTTTTATTATGATTATTTTTCAGAAAGAAGTTGAAAACAAAATGTCACCCAGTAAATATGTGTGTGAATTGCAAATATCTGAAATGGATAGTTTACCCTTAACAGGAATAGTAAAAATACGCTACCAAAGCTTTCAGCTGGCTTCTATCAAAATAATTATCTTAGCAATTATCTCTTCGTTCATTTAACTTTTGCACGCGGATGGTGTTTCTGTGCCTTTGTGTTTATCAACCTCGTGCTTAGAGTTCTCCCAGGAACTATTAGACTGACAGATCTGTTTTTTTTTTTTTTTAACATAGAGAAAAGGAGAAGAAAGGGAACAGGCTATTTAAGAGGAATTGCACTCTGATTCTTAGGTGCTTAGCAAACTATTTAGAGATTAAGGTACTGCTCTGGGAGGGGCTTTGTGGTAGGATCTGCTGAAGGCTGCTCAGGACACATGCCCCTCCATACTCAAGACCCCCTGCTCTTCTGGGGGAGGGACCCTAAAGAAATAAATCAGGACAAGCCCATCAGCACGTGCATACTTAAATGTCACTTCAAAAGTTTCATTTTTAGTCGTGAGTCTGTTTTGGGTTCTGTTTTTGCCATCTCTAGTTAGGAACTTGGTAGGTGCCCTTTGCTCCATTACACGTTGGTCCAAGATGCACCGTGCATAACCGGCAAAGTAAATGTCCACTTCCTGTTTCTTTTGATTTTTAAGAGTTCAGTGCACAGAAGTGTTATTAAAAGAGTTTTTTCTTAAACGGATAATTTATATATGCTTCTGTTTGAAAATATTCTGATTTACTGGAGCAGTTTCACCTGCAGAGTGTGATTCTCCCTTGTTCTAATCTTGGACCACGCTGGAAAGAAGCTGACTTGGACCTCTTCTTCCCTTTAAACCGCACCTCTGAGCCAGAGAAGATCATGTTCTAGAGGAGAAACTTGTCTTTTGGTGGTATCCTTCTCTGCCGCTCGCCCGAGGTGGGACCCCGGGCCCGTCCTGCATGTGCACTTGAGGAAGGAGCACTTTCGGAGAAGTAAACTCCGCTCTTTCCTGCTGTCGTTTTTGATTTGGGCTGTGTCCTGACGGGCGTTTGAAGCTAACATGAAATGCAGTGCCTGCCTGACCCATTTTAGCAGCCCATTATCATAATTTCACTGTCGTATGGCCACTGAGTTAATGTACTTACAAATGACAGAGAAAGTGTGTTACATGACCTTAGGGTTTTCAAAAATTAAATGACGTCGTGGGTCGTATTTCAAAGAATAGCTAAGGAGAACGGTTTTCTTTCCTGCATGAAGCGTCACTGTGCATAGCAACAGGATATTGTATTTCTTTTTTATTACACAAAAATGTGAAGCTTTTAAATTCCTAGATTTCCCACATAAAATTTAACATTGGGGTAGGAATGAAATACCAGTGGATAAATCTGCTTCTCCCATCTCTTCCTCCATCACTCCAGATGAGACTCCTTCAAACTCAGGGCTGCAGAGATCCTTGGTAATTCCTGTCCGATGGTGACTTAGTGTCTCCCCACCTCACAGGAAGCTTGCATATTCCTACCTAAAACACAGCGACATCCTCACATTCCCTGAAGTGCTCTTGCTGGGTCTGGGCAGCAGCGATTCAGTTTCTTCTGTGCTTAGGAGTCGTGCTTGGCGTTGGGAAGCCCGTGTCCTCAGCTCCATGGGGCCTCAGGAAACGCCCTGCAGGAGTGGTGCGGGCACTCAGTGTGGGCCTGCTGCGCTGCCTGGCTGAGCAGTGCCCTGGACCCCAGCCGGGGCACACCTAGCACAGGGCTGCCCAAGGTGCCCAGCCCCAGGCTGCGAGGCACACAGCGGTGTCCAGGACCAGGGTCTCCCTGTCCTCCCACTTTGCCGTACAAATCAACTCGTTCACCTGTCCCAGAATTCTCTTTCCCAGTTGGGAATACTGAAGACAAGCAGTAGCTCTCTGAAGAGCCCTCAGGACTCGAGTGCAGTGCTTTGATTTATAGACGGGAGAAAGTGCCGGCCTCCACCTATCAAGAGCGCAGAGCCCTTCCTCGCGAGCCCCTGTGGAGATACCCAGGCCTGTGGAAGCAGAAGGCAGCTCTGGGTGGTGTCCAGCTGCTTGCAGACTGCTCAGGCTTGCGAGCGGCATCCACCCTGCAGGCAGAAGTCCTGATTATTGACACAGTCCTTAGGAAGTACCGCACAGTGGTAGGAAGAACAACCCTGCGTCTTCATGGAAAACCAAAAAGTGCTTCTGACTTGGAGCAGCCTGAATTTCCTTCTGGCCTCCACATGCAGATGTGGTTGGTGGAGCCTGAGTCCAGGACCTGGATGTCCATCGGGCTGGTGCTGAGTCAAGAACCTGCTGTGCACTGTGGCTCACACAGGAGTGGGGCAGGGCGGGGGGGCTCCCCAAGAGTCTCCTTAGTGCAACTTGTAGCCTTACAAATGTCAACTCTTGTGAGGACCCTGGCAGTATTGACATAAAGAATTTTATTTAAAGTTACTTAAATTTGATGACTCTTCTAAATTTAATCTGCTCTGTGTTATGCACCAAAATTAAGTTTCAGGGGGAAAAGACGTGGTTGCAATGTGTGCTTAGAAATGACTTGTC